TTATTCAAATTACAAATATCCTCAGCACCGCATTTACCACTGCTTCGACAGAGGGAGCTGCGACTGAAATTTAATATCATGCGAAAGCAGATGAAAAATTTGTGGCACTGCTCTCACCATGGCAGCTGTTAGTCATCTGAGGCCTCGCTGGAGTTAAGGACATGTTCGCCAGGCGAGAATGTGACTTTTACAGGCTTTCAGGTCAAATCATGCTTCAACTACTGAACAAGATAGAACGTATGTGTACGATATGTACACTTAGGCTTTCTTCTGCACTTGCTCTCAGCCTACACGTGCACAACAGTCTACAAGCAGCAGATCCTAAAAGGAGCTGTATTCAAATTAAGATAGCTGCAGCTGTGCACATTTACATCACCAGTGCTGGCAAATATGCAGCTAAATCGAAAAATTGCAGTGCTGCAATTTGTTGCACATCTGATGGTAATTTGCAATAGGTTTAGTAAATATGCCCCACACAGTTTTGGGCCAATTAGACTTTGTTATTTGTATAACTGCCCCATTTCTCAGAAACCACATTTTATCTTGAAAATCATTGTGGCAGCAAATCAAAGCACTTGTCAGGGATAGTCACAAAGAAAAGCTATGCTTCAGCCAAGTTTGATGATTGACCAATTTCAAAATGTAGAACCTGTGTACATTTTTTTCTTTTTTCTGTCTTTTGCCAGTGTGCTCTTTTGAAACATACATTACATAGCCATACCCATGCAGGATGTTTCGATAAGCTGAACATTTCAATTTAATACGTTTATATAAAAACTAAACTTCCTCCCACATATTCCTCTGTATAAGGTTATTATTAGTCACTGTTTCAATTTTACAGTAACAACCTTTAAGACATTTCTGTCATTTAGAAATCAAAATGACGCTGCCACCCATCTCTGCATCCTTTTCTTCCTCCTGATGTTTTATTCCTCTCAGGGAGCCTCCATTTTGTTTCAGATCACAGACAATAAAGCAGCCTGCCTCTCTCGCTCTCGCTCTTTCCTACTTCCTGTTAAAGGAATCAGCCAGTCAGAACACTCAAAACACATATTAAACAGGCATCAGCCTCTCGCCGGGGCCAAATCACGCTGTTCAAATGTTGTTCTTCCACCGGGAGCACAAGACAACTGAAGAGATGGGATTTGCAACATTAACTTGATTCACGGCTGCGGCGACTGAGTGACACTCCATAAACCTCAGCGGGCCGCTGCAGGGCCCCACCAACAGCACCCTATGGCTAATGTGACACACACTAGTAACACATACTGTAGCCTTTCAACCCACTCAGCACTACACACAATCTGACACACACACACACACACACACACTTATAAGCAAGCACATGCAAGAACTAACTTATACAGTACATGCAAATACATAGTAGCAGAAATTGTATTCAGAGATTCATGTGACAAAGCATATATGCATTAACACATATCTGGATGAAACTGGGGAAAATGAGCTTTGCCAAGCTCGGCATACACACACAGCCATAGGTTCACACACTGATGTGCACTCTTTCTCTTAAAAAGCACACACAGAGAGACATATATAACAGGATTTATGTTAATGCAAAGCCAGTGAGTTATTGTCCTCTCCAGCCAACCTCTCAGCTTGCAGCATTGTGGCGTAGGCAGTTAGTATGGGCTCTGTACAAGACTGTGTAAATAGGTAACCTCTGCTGCTCAAAATGCCAACTTCCTCTGGCTGTCTTTGACAGTGCTGACTCCCTCCACACACTAACTACTGTGCCTGTCACTTGAGATACAAATTGTAGAGTCTGAATTGATATTTACTACCCTGACTTGTTGCTTTTGTACTGCAACTTTTTTCGTTAGATTGCCTTTAAACAAATGCACAGTGATATCTTGTACTACATATATACAGTTAGAGATATGCATTAAGCTTGATTTATGGTTCTGTGTTGAATCTACTCCATAGGTACAATGTAGGTAACGAGTAGCCTGACGTGCACCTCTCCAGAAATTAAAGTACATATCATGGTGGCACAGACAACAACAACTGTGACTGGTTGCATCAGATTTCCTCGTTCATGTCTCTCAGTGGCCGAACAAGCACGGAAAATCCCCCCACGTTCTGCTTCAGTTGGTTCAGTGGTCGTACAGACCAGCTCCTTTGACGTCTTCTCTCATACCTGTGTTACAGTAATTTCAGTAAAAGTGACTGCCGTTCAGTATCTGTTAGTTTTAAATCCAACTTGACCTGCTCTATTTCATTCACCACTGTTAGTAAGTGGCGAAGAAATGCAAAACAGTGGCAAAGAAACCCTACTGCCAACAAGCATTTTGGGGGTGTAATTGCAGGGAGACAGAGACACACCAGGCACATGTATAATGCTCACAATGTTGTAGGCCACTTATGTAGCCTACGGCGTAGGTCTTACATAGATTCAATGCACAACCATAAATCAAGCTTTAGATATATGTAGAGAAATAGTGGCTGGTAATATGATGACGAGAGAGACAGAACAACAAATACAGCAGGCAGGCCTAAGGTCAGAATCAGGGAGGTGTGTACCTCACAAGTTACAGTATAATGTGAAATGTAGCCCTGGTATTCCAAAGAAGGCTCCAGAGTACCAGGAAAACCCCTCTTCTGCTACCTGGTGCACTGTGACAGCTCTGCATTGAAGTTTGACGTGCACCACACGGAATCATATTCTTCATGTTAGAAGAACTTTGACCCAAGCTGCATTGACCTCACTGTTGACCACTTCTTGAATGGATGAAAAAGTGCTTATCTCTTGTGTCTGAATTTTCCAGAACTGTACAATAACAAATTACCCTCATATTAAGACCAGACAAACACAGACAGCCTTGGCTAAATATCAGCGTGCAGATGCAGCTACCATGATTATTTAAAACCCAGTGTTTGAGACTTTGAAACATAGCGATCTACTGCTAGCAACATTAGCATTGTAGCTCAGGTAGCATGCGTTCGTGCAGCACCCTGTACTAAATCACACTGTCTACACTTAAAAGTCTGCACTCTCCCAAAATCGGGTTTGTGTGGTGAAATGTAGATTTGTACAATCTCTGTCATTTGTTAAGACCATTAGGATCCAGCAGCAGAAAACACTGGCCAGCCTTTCTTCTGCATAAATCCAAACAGTTTTTGAGAAGAGAGCTCCTGAAGTGGGTGTCTTTTGTCCAGTGTTGTTTCTTTCTTTTTTTTTTTTTTTTTTTTTTTTACCTACTGTATAAAATAAACCTGGCAGGTGCAGACATGTGTGGGTGTATGTGCGTGTAGATGTCATTAAAATAACTAACCATCCAGACTGCAACATGTTCTCATTTTCTCACTTTTAGGATAATGTCAGTTTTTAATGATTTGTCATCCTGTGTGCTAAAGTGTGAACAGGACAGGACAGATTTATATGTCTGAGACACAGAAGAGTCATCTTCTGCTACTATTTTCATCAACTGACCAATTAAACAAAAAGCAGAGTGTTTCTCTAAAGCCTTGAACAGACATCGTTTGCTATAAAGCCTGGAAAACACTATTTTGAAGGATTATTAATTGCATTAAACCTCTGGAATTGAATTTGGAGCTGAAGTTGCATTCACCTCTTTGGCGCACAACTGAATGTCTTTATCTTTGCTTGCAGCCATTAAGACCAGCATCTACTGTCTAGGTCCAGCTTGTTACCATCAGTGTTGGACATTCTTAGCAAATCAAATATTCAGTGGTTCCTCCAGTGACTCAGGTACAAGCTTGTAAAATGATAGCCTATTTTGAGAGTGTATGTGTGCAGGAATAACAAGCTTGATGTCACCAAAGGTCTATAGTAGTGGTCGCTGCCTACATGTCTGGTGAGGGTGAGAGTTAAAGCTGCCGCATCTCTGTGACTGTTTACACTGGAGGAGGCCAGGGCACATTCGGGTCAGACACTGTTTGCAGCACAACTCTGACTCTCTGATCACATTGTCAACCTGCTGAGTGCAGAACATTAAATGTCAGGGGGAGAAAGGAATATCAATGATTGATGACTTTGTTCTTGTGTATACTGTGAGATCTGTGTGATCATTCCGTTGCCCTTGGAGGTAAACCTTGTACCTCCAAAATGTTAACTTTTCAGCAACTGAACAGAAACAAAAAAAAAAAAGTTGTATTGTCGTTTCCTGAAAAGTCGAGGTTTTGCAGAGGATCTTTGGAATTTTAAAGTCGATAATGAGCTTAAATTGTTGTGGAATCTACAAACTTTCAAGTGCAAACCTTCAGCTGAAACTAAAACATTGAAAATTAGGGTCAATATGCTCTTCCCATGACAATAATAAGTGTGTTTTCACTTTTTTGTACAGTAAGTTTGTCAGTGCCTAGAAGCCTAGGTGTGAACAGAGTCCCCTCTTCACTGTCTCAAACTCCCATTTTTCTGCATAGATTAGCCTACAAGTGTCTGAGCCAGGCTTTTTAAACAATGGCATTTCTAACACTGTTCCTATCACCTTGGAAACGCCATGGCAACCTGTGAGAGGGGGGCACGGTGGGCCTAAATTGCCCCCAGCCGTATCTCACCCCGCTCTTCTGCCAGCCTAATATCTCCATATTCAGTCTCCTTTCATGCATTAAGTGACACAAATATGTGAAGTGTTACATCACCTTTTGCATCAACTTAGCTTCCCTTATAGCGTTGTCCCTTTTTTCTCACAGTGATGGATGCATAGCAAGTTCAACATTTGTGGTTAGTGAGAACAAAAGTGATGAATATGAACAGCCAGTGTGTGGTACTGTTATCTGCAGTAATTGCCATTCCTATTTTAGTACTTTTGGATGTGATCCTGACCATCTTGCCACAAAACTATTTTCCTTTTCTATTCTGTGTTTGGACTCCGATCTAACTCTAATCTTAGCTCATCTTTTCTTTTGTCTGTATACTTCGCTGCCTGTCCACAGGAACACTTCTGATGCTTTATTTAATGTTTTAGGAGTTGAGGAATTGAATAAAAGAATGTAATGTCATTGTCTCTCTTCCCCAGGTATTGTGTCCAAGTCTTTTGAGTGTCGTCTGAAGGGCCAGGGGGCTGCATTTGTGGAAGCAGAGTCTGTGGGTTCTCCTGTGGACATGAAGGATTCATCAGAGGCATCTGGGCTCGATGAGCAAATCCAACAGGTCATCATCATCCAGGGCTATGGTGAGGGGGAGGTGGCCATTGACCAGGCCCTGGAAGAGTCAGCTGCTGCCACCCTGCAGACGCTGGCCATGGCCAGCCAGGTGGCTGAGGTGCTGCACATCACCGAAGACGGACAGATCATAGCCTCAGGCAGGGAAGTGGCGGCCGCAGGGGCCCACCTGGCCGGAGGTAGCACCCAGTATGTGGTGCTGGAGTCAGGGGAGGCCAGGGAGGAGCTGCAGGCTGTGGCTAGAGGAGGGGTGGCAGTTGCAGCTGCAGGACAAGGTCACATTGTTTCAGAGTCATCCACAGCTCTGGATGCTTTGCTCAGCGCTGTGAGTGAAATGGGCCATCAGGAGGGAATGCAGGGAGAGGCAGCTGTTGTTCAAGAGGTCTTGGCTTCTGAGACATCTGAAGCAGCGCAGAGTGAAGTGCAGTCTGGGGTGAAACAGGAGCAGGAGGAGGTGCAGGTCATCCAGGAGACAGACCAGGAGGAGATGCAAGAGGTGCTGCAGCTTGCCGCATCTCAGATGATAAAGGAAGGTCTGACCCAGGTCATTGTCAATGATGAAGGCACCCACTACATTGTGACAGAGCTGGACAACTGCACCTTACAGGTGGAGGGAGGCGTGTATGAAGAAACCGCAGCAGGTGATGGGCAGGTGCAGCAGGCAGAGCAACAAGCAGGAGAAGAGATGGTGGTCTATCTGGATGGAGCTCCTCACAATATAGTCCTGGAAGGGTAGAGGAGAAATGAGATGACGGCAGGACACTTGTCATTTGATTTCAGTTTTTTTGACTAATTCTTTTGAAGACTGCATTAGGCCAATGTTTTCCAGGTCTTCCTCTTCCCTTGTCCCCTTTAATTTCATCTTGTTTGATTCTTTTTACATCATTTCTGTTCTTGACTATCTTCTCTCGGGCTATGCTAAACTCAGGTTAAATATCATTATTCGGAGGGACAGTGAAGAATCGGTTTTGCTGCTGAGTCAATTTACAATCCTCAGAACCGCCAACCACTTAGATTCACGCCATGCAACTTAAGGAACTGAGTATCATTTTGAGTATAATATTTTTAAGAAAGCATTTAATATGCTGAACATGAAAAGTCTTAATATAAAGAATACAGAAGACTAATTTGTTCTGTAGAGGTGTGATACTGTACATGTGGGAATCATTTGTGTATTACCACCTTAAGTTTAGTTTTGCTATGATAGAATTTTGTTCATGTGCTGTTGTTCATTTCTTAGCCTTTTCAGTTGTTTTTCTTTCCATTGTTTGTGTTTATTACTATATATGTTCATTTCCAAATCAGTAATTTGTTTTATTTTGAAATATTTACACACAGCAACTCTTATAGATGTCATAGATTTAATGTAATAAGATTAATAATTATATTCCTCAGTTTTTTGTTTATTTTTTGGTCTTTCAGCTTTTGCAAAACCTCTAAAAATATTAATGCAATTTCATTTGTGACAATAAAAATGGAGCCTAATTTATAACAACTTGAGCTTTTATTCTTACTAGTATGTTCAGTCAATTGTCATGTCAAGCACACTGTACAGCATCAATATTGCAATTATATGTGCAGCACAGCGCCATCATGCAAGCAAATGCACATAAATGCATCAGCTGTTTGCCCGTAATGCTTTCTAATCACTAACCCAGTCATTATCATCACCATTATCATTATTGTCATCATGATCCCCATCATCCTAATCGTCATCCTCTATCCTCTCCCCCCATCAGGCCCATTCTGTTCACTGCGTACAACACACTCATCCCCCCTCCCGAAGTATTCAGCACTGGAGGGTGAATCAATATTCATTTAGGCCCATACACAGGCCTGGTTTCTGATGAAGTGAGTGGGAGAGCAGTGTGACGGCTCCAAACACAATGGCCAGCCGCTGAAAGTAGAGAGAGAGAGAGAGAGCACTTATACACACCAAGGGCATCAAAAGATCATCCCTTTAACACATACATACGCAGTGCATGCAGAGCGAGAAGGTGGGCAGAGAGAGAAAGTGGTGGAGGAGTGGGCAGGAAAAGTGAGAGGATTACAGATGGTTGTTGTTGAGAGAGGTGAGGCCAGAGAGAAGTAAAAGAGCAGTGAAACCCACAACCACACAGAGAGAAGTGAGCCCGCAGTTTCACACAACACCGGTCTGCCTTTCAGCCCGTCTGTGTCTGATGCTCCCAGCCTCATGTTGCATTTATGAACTTACACAGTCTTTTCATGCTCTTTTTCTCAATCTCACATTTAACAGAGATCACATTCTCTGTGTGAGCCTCTGCACGTGCCTGTGAGATGGACTTAAACTTTAACACCCGCAGAGTGGTAAGAAAAAATGCAACAATAGCATTTATAACATTATAAAAAATTCCAGCTATAAATGGCTTTTTTAAATTGTGTGTGGCAGGAGAGGGCTAAACATTTGATGGTTCCCCCTCCGTAGTACCAGAATCACTCCATGAAATCATATCTCACTATAATCCAAATAAGATTATTGCTGGTAAAGATGGTGTATTTCAACACAACTTTTAATTTTAATGTATATGTTTGGATGTGCTGTAACACATACTGAACTGACTTTTGCATGTGTTCGGGGTACATGTGAGTACAGTATTGTGATGTGGTGGTAAATAAAAAAATCAAAAACTGCATAACCTCAAGCTGAGCTCTAACAGATAGGTTGAGCAATATTACTGTACATAGCCTGTAATGGTAATAGCAGTGAGTGAGTGTCCTCGGTTAAGCTGGGTTCATGGCCTCCACTAACATCCTCAGTTCACTGTGTGTCAATGGGTTTTGTTCTGAATAGGAATGTCTGTCTGCGCCCATGCTTGTACATTAATCTGCATGTCTAGCTGAGTGATTGTGTACTGTATTGTGTGCATGCCCACCCTCCCCATGTATCTCCCTAATCAGGGCTGGATGGCTTATTATTAACTGCAGTAGGCCACTCGGGTGACATGGAAGAGGGAGAAATTAGCAGCTGTCACCCAGTGATGAGTTCATTTCCTGACAGGCCTCTTCTCCAAAGAGTCCTGCTGCA